TAACCGCAAAAAAACAGAAACTGGAGCAAAAAAAAAAAATCGGAAAGCCCACGGCGGCTTTCCGCGATGCGCACAATGGGGCAGGGAAAATAATGGAGATCCAAAAGCCTCGATCCCTCGTGAGGTCTACACGCGACGCGGACGTTCTAACACACTGCCTTTCCCTCTCCACTCGATAGCGGAACGCCCCTTCGGTCGATATAGACTGCGGCGGGGGGGGGGGTGAGGGGGAGGGGTGAGATCTACCACTCATGGAACGGCAATACATTTCTAGAAAACCGCGCACGTGGACGGAGGCCGTGGTGTGGGAGAATTGCAATCATAAATACAACCCTAACCCCCACCCCACCACCACCCCCCGCTACTCGGCCACCCCCCTCCAAACGTGCGACTTGGCGTAACGCTTCAAGTTGCCCACGTGTTTTCGCCGCGCGCGTTGATTTGTGTGCCGTGCGCGTTGATTTGTGTGCCGTGCGCGTTGATTTGTGTGCCGTGCTGGCCTTCACAGGTGCTCGCTAAAAGCACTTGCCAAAAGTCTGTTCAAGCCTATACGGGAGATCTTTGCCTTTCTGTGTGTAATGCTGGCCCCTGCTGCTGTTGTTGTTTTCGGGCTCATTTTATATGCAACTTGAATAAAACTAATAAAGTTAGATATTGCTGAGACCCAGGTGCCCTTTCCATGTGTCCTGCCTCCAAGGGAGTTACCCATGTGAAAAGCTGTATCTGCGTGTGTGTCTGTGTGGGGAGCGGTAGTGTAGCGGTTAGCGCGCTGCGCTATGAACCTGGCGACCCGGGTTCGATTCCCGCTCACGGCCAACACCAGTGACGATTATCTGAACAGGTCCTGGGCCTCCCTTAGGTCGACTCAGCCTTAACTGAGTACCTGGTGCAGTGTGTAAACATCGCCACTGGGGAGACAAAGGCGGTAGGGCGTGGTGCTGGCCACCCACCCCCTCGTGTACCGTTCCGGCCTTCATAGGTGCTCGCTAACAGCACTTGCCCCTACAGTCTGTTAAGGCTATACGGGGGATCTTTGTGTGTGTGTGTACATATGCGTGTGTCATCTCAGTCAATCGACCCGTGGTACCTGGGTCTGGCCCGTGACCTCCTGCCAGCGGGCGTTCGACACTTCACGTGGTAGCCTCAAGGTGCACATGGCCTGGCACAAGCGTCGTGGTGACGTCACCGACACTTAGTAGCGAATGGCGGTTGTTGTTGTTGTATGTGTGTGTGTGTACATATGCGTGTGTAAATAGGTGTGTGTGTACATATGCGTGTGCAAATAGGTGTGTGTGTGTGTACATATGCGTACGCAAATAGGTGTGTGTGTGTGTGTAAACGCACTGCGCTGTGAACTCGGTAACCTCATTCCCATTCCCGGGCCAGGACTGACACTTGAGGTGAGTGATACGTCAACCGGTTCTGGGCCCCGCCTAGGTCGGCTCAGCCTGCAATGAGCACGTGGCGCATTGTCCGAACATCGGCACGAGGGAGACAAAGGCGGCCGGGCGTGGAGCTGGCCTCCCACCCCCTCTTCGTGCACCATTCAGGCCTTAATAGGTGCTCACCAATAGCACTCATGGTCAAAAGCCTGTTATAAGGCTATGGGGGGTGGGGGTCCTTGAACGTGTGAATAGGTGCGTGTGCACATTCAAGAGTGAATGCCTGAACCTCGATTATTTTTGAGTGCGTGAGTGAGTGTGTGAGTGAGTGTGTGCGTGTGCACATTCAAGAGTGAATGCCTGAACCTCGATTATTTTTGAGTGCATGAGTGAGTGTGTGAGTGAGTGTGTGCGTGTGCACATTCAAGAGTGAATGCCTGAACCTCGATTATTTTTGAGTGCGTGTGAGCGAGTGTGTGCGTGTGCACATTCAAGAGTGAATGCCTGTACCTCTATTTTTTTTGAGTGTGAGTGTGTGCGTGCGTGGAAAAATTGGTGAGATTAACAAAGCAACACGAAGCAAAGGAACAATTCCCCGCGAAACGTCAACTTTTTTAACTCGCCAATTTTTTATTAACCTACGCACGGTCGATGAAGCGGCGGCGATTTGAATCCCCCCCCCCCCGCGTGAATTCGTTCTCAATTACCATCAGCGCAGTGTGCCAAGGCCGTGAACGAAACACAACGCAGTGGCACAGCGCCCCCCGCGTCCGAGGAACCCGAGCTCACGTTCATCGTTCCATAGCGGTGGCGGCCGTCCACCTCGAGTGACATGGAACCAACAAGAAGAAGAAGTGGCAACCCTACAAAGACCGAGAGGACATCCGCTACCACTGTCCAGAGGTCGCAACCGGGTACCCGATACCCGTACCCTAGCGATACCCGGCTACCCGTACCCGGCCGGGTACGGGTACCCGTTTGCGACCCTGGTGCGGCCGGGTACGGGTACGGGTAGGCCGTGAGTCACTGGTGAGTCACCGTTTGTCACTCATTTCCCAACGTCTTCTCTCTTCTCACAATTCAAGTTCCTAGAATCAACCCACCCGCGCCTGCAACATGGCTTCATCCCAGAGGTCATAATCGGGTACCCGTCACCCGTACCCTACCCTATAGCCGGCCGGGTACGGGTAGCCAGGTATCGGGTAGGGTACGGGTATGGGCACCCGTTTTCGACCCTGGTGCGGCCGGGTACGGGTACGGGTAAGGAATCAAAACCCGTCTGCGACCTCTGCCACTGTCTAAAATGTTTTTGTCTTTATAACAGTGCAGTGGGAGACTTCCGACACACGTCTAGTGGCACACCGCGCGATACGCTCCGTAACGCGGCTACCCCCAGGCTGTCAAAACACGCAGCCCATCTCCGCTGGCTGATCGACGAGCGTAGCGGCGGAGCTGATCTTGCAGAAGAGCAGCCGCGTGGTCCAAGACGAAGCGATGACGACGGCAGCGACGCACCCAGACACCCACGCTAACAGCCCCGAACCAGAGGGTCGGGGCTCCGTATATCTGCCTGGTGCGGCCAAGCTCCACCTCTGGCGACGCCTCCTTTCCAGAACATTCGGGATGGTTCCCGGAGCTTCTCGACTGACTCCGCCCTTGAGCTTTACCCCAGACACGCCCCTTCATAATGAGGCATTATGTGATGCGGCTATAACCGTAATTACCCTTACAGGCCGGCAGGTGTTACCCTGTCATTACAATAGTAATAGTAATCTTAAACAAACGTCCGAGACTCGTGTGTGTTTTTTTTAACTACCGTCCGGTATTCGAACGTTTGTCCGAAATCGCTTTGTCCACATTTTTTTCTTCAGACGGCACCGAATCCGCGAGGTCAGTGACCCCGCTTGCTGTACAAAGTTCAAAGTTCATTTATTAGGTATAGCCCTGTGAGCCATTCAGCTCTTGAATCGGGTGCAACCGCAACAAACAAAAAACAAAAACATGAACAAGAAAACATCTTAAAGTGACTATGTGCAAACGGAAAATCCAAGAAAAGACAGCAAAATATTGCAGAAAAAAATCATTGTACACCAACCCTGTGCAAATATCCCAGTGGGATTGCCTCCTACCGGGGGGGGGGGGGGGGGGGGGGGCGGGCGGGTGGGGGAGCAGGGAAAATGGGGGGATGGAGGATATCGGCTCGCTAACCGCGCGAGCCTCAGTGCAGTCCGCCGTCCCGTATATATTGCGACGTGCTAGATGGTACGCGGGTGGGGGGGATGGGGGCCCGGGGTGAAGAAACCAACGCTGCTGCGCCGTCGCGACGCACGAGCCAACGGGAGGACTCCACCGCCGCCGCCCTGCGCCGCGACTCGTCGTGAGCGAGGGAGGGAGGACGCGCAGATCGGCGGGGAGGGGGTGGGCACGCCGGTGTACAGCCGTAACCCCTTGTGGGCAGGTACCACCCATGGGACCTAAACTTTGTATAATGCATGGGGGGGAGGGGGGGGTGAACTCTGCAGCCATTGTTTACCAACACTGACCGATGGCGCTGGAAATTTAAGGTCCCGTCAAGTGTTAAGTGTTAAGTGGGCGATAAGAGTGTTTGAACAAGCGGGGTCATTTGTGCTCGTGTGTTCGGACATCCCCCACGCCCACCCCACCCCCAGATTGCCCCCCCCCCTTCACCGAATCCCCCGCCCCTGCACTCAGGCGGGTTTTTATTTGCTATTAGCGAGCTTCAAGAAGAATGATCATTAATCTGGTTCGGGGGCGGCGAATTTGATTCATTGATCGCGTTGAATTTAAGCAGCCGGTGATGATTAATCCCGGCGGGGCCGACTTCGAGGATTATTCACGACGGCCGGCTTGGCTGCGCCGCGACCTTTAACTCCGCGGCGGCGCGACCGCGCGGGCGGTTGCGCACAAATCAACACCCCCCCCCCCCCCTGATTTATGTGGCGAGAGTGAGCTGCTGCACTGCGCGTCGTCACAGCTGAAGGGGAGGGGGGGGGCGCGTGGGCTTCAGAGCGTTTAATTTGAAAAAAATAACCTCGCCACCGCCGCCGAGCGATGAGAAACTTTCGGGAAAACGCGGCGGAGAGACAGAGAGAGAGCGAGCGAGCGGAGATAATCGCCGACGCTTGGACTCGCATTGCCGCGCTCCCCGCCGCAGTCCACGCGGCGTCGCTGTTCGTCGCGGGTTGGTCCAACACCATGTGAGACTAGGCTCTAAAGAAAGCTGTCTCGGGTGTGGACCAATCAACTTCAAGGACAGTACATATATTATCAGTGTTATGTTTTTTTTTGCATTATGACTGCAGGTATTGTGGTCTATGCAAACATGACTCCTTGTAAAAAAAGTGTCAGTTTTGTTGCCAGATAGAAGGGTAAAAAACCAATTATCAGGATCCATACTCTTCGGTAGGTAAAAAAATAAAAGTAAAAAAAAAATATTATAAATTTTTCACTTTTATTTTTTACCTACGTGACTTTACCGAAAGAACCAAAGAGTACGGACTGACCTGTGGAGTGATGCACATTTGGGACGGACACAAAGGCCGACCGACCGATGGACACGTCACCCGCGACCGCGAGCACTAGCGCCCTGGCCCTCACCTTGACGGCTCGCTCATCCAGCACGCGGTGCTTGCTCTGCAGCTTGTAGCGCGGGCGCCGCACCTCGCCGCCGTCTCCCGCGCCGGTGAACACCGACACGTAGTCGTCGAGCCCCTCTGTCGCCGGGTACTTGGCGCTGGAAAAAACCTGCGAAGCATCTCCGATTAGCGCAGTTGGCCGCCACGTATGGCGCGAAAGAAGTTCGGCAAACGTACGTGGCACGTCTCAATTTCGGAGCTTTCGTGACTGCAGGAATTATTCTTTGGTTCTTTCGGTAAAGTCACGTATAAAGATAAAATAATAGCATACTTGTATGTCTGTCTATAGTTTTCCGGTTAGATTTTTGTTGCTATTTCTTTTATACCTGATGATTGCTTGTGTTGCAATCGAAACGTCGTAGTATGCTATTATTGAATTTATTATTTTATCTTTATACGTGACTTTACCCAAAGAACCAAAGAATAGTACGTGCACCTGTTCAAGAGCCCCCCCCCCCCCCCCCTCCGTTAAACGAACAAAGACTGTCGCCGCAATCGTCGCGGCGCTTTCAGATGTGCTCCAGCGGCCGTCTGGAATGTTCTATACAAGGAAGCCACTGAATCTGTGCACTGTTAAATTCAGATTGAAAACGCATTTGCTTAGAAATGCTTTTGGCGTTTAGTTCGTTGTCCTTTCCTCGCCGCACCTCCGATTAGCGCGGTTGGCTACGTGCGGTGCGGAAGCAAGCTGAACGTACGCACACGCGTAGCAGATGGGAAAGCGCGCGTCCCACGCGAGATGCGCGTTCACGCGAAAAATCGCCAGGGTCTCAAAGCCTGTGTAGTACGAGGGCCATCAGACAACGGGACATTTGTTGTGACATTCGATTCCAATGAGATGTGGCGGCATCCTTCCTCTGCGATTTGTCCGCGGCACTTCGATGCATGGCACCACTGGTTGCCATCTGCTATTTATCGGTTGAAAAACAAACACCTTTTGAACAATATGAGAATCTTCGAATATGCATTCACGCTGCGTGCCCGCTCACGTGTGTGTGTGTGTGCGTGTGTGTGTGCGTGTGTGTGTGCGTGTGTGTGTGCGTGTGCGTGTGCCAGTGGGGAGCGGTAGTGTAGCACTACGCTGCGCTATGAACCCGGCGACCTGGGTTCGATTCCCGCTCACGGCAAACACCAGTGACGATTATCTGAACCGATCCTGGGCCTCTCCTAGGTCGACTCGGCCTCAAATGAGTACCCGGTGCGGTGTGTAAACATCGCCGCTAGGGAGGCAAAGTCGGCCGGACGTGGTGCTGGCCACACACCCCCTCGTGTACCGTGCCGGCCTTCATAGGTGCTCGCTAACCGCACTTGCCCCTACAGTCTGTTAAGGCTATACGGGGGATCTTTGTCTTTGTGTGTGCCAAGTGGAGCGGTGGAGCAGGGGTTAGCGCACCGCACCGCGAACCCGCCGAAACGAGTTCGATTCTCGCTAATGACCGATAACGGTGGCGAATATCCGAACCGGTTCAAGGGCCTCGCCTAGGTCAACGAATACACCGCTTACAGCGTATTAACATCAGCACCGGGGAGACTAAGGCAGCTGGGTGAGGCGCTGGCCAAACAACCCCCTTGGTGCATCGCGCGGACCTTAATAGGCGCTCGCTTAGGGGCAAATGCACCAAGAGTCTGTTTAGAGGCGATATAGAAGGATCTTTGTGCGCGTAAAATCGCAGGAAACACACGTGGGCCCCGCAAACGACTCTTCGGGGCAGTTATATTTAAGGGGGGGGGGGGGGGGGCGGTGGAAATAAAAATGAATATCAGGTAAACAAAATCATTCACGTTGTGCAGTCACCGAACGCGCGGTGCTGAAAGCGCACATCAAATTTTCTCGGGACTGGTAATTCCCTACAAGAAGAACACCCCCGGGTTACAAAAACCAATATGATTCCCACAATCGTACCTGGCCATTGCCGACCATTAAAGAGTCATTTTGAGCACGCCGCTTCGGACATTGGTCTTGGGATGGGCGCACGGGCGGGCATGTCAGCCGAATGCTCGCTGATGAAAGGTTGGCCAAAACGAGAATCCTTGATTAATCTCTTTCATACGGCGAGCGGCGGCTGCGTCACACCGGCAGGGAAATTGCACCCTCCGTCCGCGGGCGTGCGCACGGCCGCACGTGATAAACAACTTGCCTCCAGTCGCACACCCCCCCCCCCCCCCGACGCGTACCGACGATCCCTGTTCGCCAGGACACAACGCCGGTCTCGTCAAAGGGGGTCGCGGTCCTTGGCTGCGGCCAAAGTCCCGGCCGCGCTTGTCCTACACTGTTTGTTCAAGGGGATCCAACGATTCCAACCGCGCGCCCGGGCACCAATTACCCACCCGTGACCCTCACGACGAACTGCTAACGGCGCGCAGCGTCGCTCCGGGTGTGACCGGGGGGGGGGGGGGGGGGAAATGGGTGGGAGAAAACCTTTGGGCCGGGCGCTAATCGAAAAGCCGGGAGCATCGGAGATGACGATCGTCAACCTTCCCACCGTCAAACCGCCGTGACCCCAGTGAGGGTCCCCAAGCGGGGGGGGGGGGGGGGGGGGGTGGTGGGGCAGGGGGGGAACGTTGCCAACAGGATGAGCGGCTTTCATGTTGCTCACAGCCGCCCCCCCCCGGCGTCACCGGCGGTTGATGCCGGTGCGGCCGAGTCCTGTGCTCGGGGGCTTATCTCGATGAAGGCAAGTGGCAGCTGGGAAATGGGAACGGGGGGGGTGGGGAAATCTCAGGGAGGGCATTAAACGCACGGCCACGTCTGCCTTCCACCCCGTGGCCCGGCTGAAATTCCAAGCGCGGAAGCGCACGCACGCACGCGGAGGTTCCGCGGTTGCAATTTGGCGGCGCCAGCGCGGCTGTCGGCACTGGCGCTCCGCACCTGCGATTGGCACGGTCGGCTACGTACGGTGCGAGAGAAGTTCAACTGAGCTCAACTATTTTTTTAAATCCTTTATATTAAGTTCGCTTGCTTGCTTGCTTGTGTGCTTGCGTGCTTGCTTGCTTACGACCGTGCAAATCTTTCGGTCGTGTTTTAACCCACTTCCCGTGACCCGAATCGAGCTGACATTTTCCACACAGACTCGTTGTGCGTGACAATTAATTTTCGTGAAAAAATGTTTCAAAAATGTTACACTGTTTAGGGAAAATTTTTTAAATATTTAATTACCAATTGCTTAATGGTGGCAGACAATCATCTGACCCATAGGTGGCAGCCATCTCAAGCCAGAGGACGAGAGGACTCTAGCCGCCCCGATGCCACGCATATAAAGGATTTATAGTGAAAAACTTTGTTTTTACGGGTTAATTTTTTTATATTTTACCAGGTAAGGCCCACTGTGCTAGATATAGCTCTTTTTCAGAAGCGACCTGGCCACAAATGATAGCTCAACGAAGTGGCTTATCATCACGCGGAAATTGAAAGCAGCGAAATACTTTAAACGTGTTTTCTAAAAAAATCCACGCGACCACGCGTAGAACACGCAAACTCCAAACTTACAAATGTCAGGGTCGGGATTGAACCCACGATCCTCCTGTCTACCAGGCGAGGTAGTAAACATCATCTCACCACCATGGCACATACATACAAGCAAAAGGACTCCTTCTCCCTGCCCACCGCCCCAGCTAACCGAAAATCACGTAGATACGAAGTGCGCTGTACAAAATACAATACAACGTGGATTTTTACATGGAGTCTAAATGCATAGACCGGATGCGTAGATACCATACCGTAACAGTGGGCGTGTTTACTTCGTAGACAGAGACAGAGAGAGAGAGGTCAGACATAGGCAGAAGATAACAGGGGGAGGGAGGTATTCGGCGAGAAAATGACACTCTCGTCGGAGCTTCCCGTGTGCCGACTACAGGTTGCGGCGGTGATTTTCTGACCAGAGGTCACTTCGGACGAAAGGAGATCATTTGGCAGCGATTCCAGCCGACCACAGAGAACGCGTCCCGGCACGGCGAGGCCGGCCGCGCGGCCATCAGAACGACGAGACGGAGTGTGCAACGGGAGGCCATTACGCGCCGCCACCGAATATTAGCCCGTGGCGTTCAAATTTCAAACCGCGGGCTGGCTGTGCGCGGAAAAATGAAGCGAGGCGGGGGTAAAGACATTCCAATTATTGTACGCGGGAGGGCAGGGGGAGCTGCTTTGGCACCAAACAGATTCGCGCCCAGCAGCGGCAGCAGCGGCGGCGCGTACGCTGCTGCTGCTGCCGCTGCCGTCTTTAGCAATGAGCATGAACCATCACGCGAACCCCGGCCATCCTCGCAAGCGGCGGCTTTATGGTAGCCATCAAACAAAGACGGCCATCGCATCGCTCGCTTTCGGACGCGCCCCCGCGGCCGTCTGCAACGCTCTTCCTACCGATGTTAGGAAGCCACTGGAGCTAAGCGACTTTTCAATCTAGATTTCTTTACAACTGCTTTTTTGCGTTTAGTTTCATGTCCTTCGCCACCGCACCTCCGACGAAGCACGGTTGGCTACACAGGGTGCGAAAGAAGTTCAACGGACGGTGCGACGGGACCGAAGGAACCCGTCGCACCGTCCAAAAATAACACCCCAACCCGCCGCCTAGGCCTCGGCAAGGTAAGGTAATTTACCTTTTTTACCGTGTAAAAGATTAAAGGGTAAAGGTGTCCACATGCCAAGGGGTAAGGTAAAGGGTAGGGTAAAGGTAGGCTCGTTGCTTTTTAGCTTTAACCTTTTACCTTACCTTGCCGAGGCCTACCGCCACCTGCTTAGCAAGGTCCAGTTAATAGTTACCGGCATCTCAGGGCACGGCGACGCAATCCGCAAGGTCGGGAAGAATTGCGGCTCTCAGTCGGGACCCATCGCGTTCATTTTTAGCGTGCCCATGCTGCGCGCGGGCCAAGCCAATAACAAGGTCAGAGCGGGCCGCGGAGAGCATGGTATGAGAGGACGATTTGGACGCACTGGGTGTGCCCTGTGGGGTGGCGGCGGGTTGATGACCTGAAAGTGAGAGCACCTTCTGTCGAGTCAGAACAAGGTGGCCTTGTCTTCTTGGTTCTTTCGGTAAAGTCACGTAGAAGGGAAATAATAAAGTAATAAAAATAAAACATAATAAAATAATCCTCACGACGTTTCGGCCACAACGC